CCGACGGTAAACATGCTCCAGTACTCGTTCAAAAAGTGTAAAAATCACACATCCAAGACCCTAAAAAAGGATGGAAGTTCCTATTTTCGGTATGTATTAATATTATAATTATTTAATCATTATCACTGTATTTTAAAAACTTTAATTTTGTCAAGAAATCCCTAAAACATTTTTTAAATTAAGTCATAATAAATAAGTCATGATTGTTCGAGAATTGTGTGCGTTTACTCTGTTCCATTTGTTGGAGACGTTTTTAATTTTTTTTATTATTTAAGTATGATTGTTTTTTTTTGTTTAATGAGACTTCTTTATTGTTTCTCTAAATATTATAATAACATTTTATTGATTTAATTTTGAATATGTGCATGTAATAAAATTAAAGATGTGAGATTTTATTTTTTATTTTTTAGCTTTCCTCGAGATCCAGTTAGCCACTCTAACGTCCGCCCCGCGCTGGTAAGTATGCGTCAAACGTCGGACTACTCGCCGCCTCAAGCCGCGCGAATCTGTCCCCGTAGCTCGGTAACAAAAACCTTTGTAACAGCTAAAATATAATGGCTACAGTAAAGATAAAAGTAATGAAAAATAGCTAATCGTTTATAGATTGAATTTATAGATTTGAAAAATCGATAGTGATAATCTATTATACTTAAATAAGGTTTAATATCAATTCCCGAGTGGAAAATAAAAAAAAATTCCATAAATTTGTTTCGTAAACATAAAATATAATAATTTTTACCAACACAACACTAAAAAGAAAAACTGGATTCATTTCCCTTTAATATGGTGTTAATATCTTGATATTTTAATATTTCTAAGTAGCTAAACAAATGAAATCAAAATACATTCTCCTTGCAATTTTGCGGTGGCCTCTTGACAATTGCCGGGTCGTTGCGCATTGTTCAAATTGAAGAAGATGGCCGTCCGTCTAAGGCTTTCTATACACGATAAGGTTGAATGAAATACGAATATGTGATAAAATATTTTAATGATTTATGATTAAAACGATAAAATTAAAAAACTATTTGCTAACTCGACGTCCCCGAAGAAAAAACTCGTATTAAACAAAGTAAATTTTATAGGAGAAACAAAAACTTCGTAATGTGTTGCATTAGTTCCGAGGAATAAATTGTTGACTTTTGAAATAATTAGAACAAAAAAAATACCACAAAAAAGTAAAAAACCCTAAAATACAAAAACAATTAAATTTCAAATACAGTAAAAGTGTGCAAATACGATTTTCGAAACACGAAACAAGTGTGAAAATGAATCAATAAAATTAATATATTACAACAAAAATAAACACGTGATAACATCAAGCAGTATTAAATATTGAAAACACACTTCCTCGTTTTTAGAGACCCTTATTTATAACTTGTTGTAAGTTCCTGGATACCGCACTAGCCATACGAAAAAACCTGAAGAACACATTGGTATTAATTGTGAATCCTTTGACATTTTAATATATTTTTAACTAAAAAAGTGTATGAGTATGTTTATTTGAAATTTAATCACTTTTACTTCACTGAATAATACGTAAATCAATCATACAAGACGACTAGCGACTGTGAATTACAAAGACGTCATTGTTTTGGTAACAACAATATTTTGAAGTTCAAATTAGAGCCGATTTAGTACGTGAAACTTTACCACCTAAGTATTATCACAAAGTACAAATTCTAAAGTTCATTTTGATGTACAATAATCTAACAATTAAATTAAAAAAAAAACACAAAATACTTACGACATAATCGCTGGTGCTCCGAAACACTTTCGTGACAAGTCGAATGAAGTTGTTATTTTTAATTCTATGCACCCAAACTCTAAACACTGCCCTCTTCTGTTATTTCTAGTGAAGTATTTCATAGATAATCAATTTTGTCAAGTACAACGTTCATTTATTTTGGCATTCTTAGACTAGATGGCAATATTTACAACGAGTCGTTTTGGATAGTATACTATGCCGGACGGACGACGGCATATTTTGTTTGGCTACTATACTCTCCACGGACGTGCTAGTGGTTAGGTGTGGAGAATGGATATCAGTCATAGCACGTCAGAGATCCGAAGAATTCTTCAAGCCGACTCAAGGAAGAGTTGTATGTTCAAAGCATTTTAGAGTTATTTATACACATGAATTATTATAAATGTGTTTTGTTTATAGGAAGCAAATGATCATGATGTAGAAGATGAGTCTTCTTTTGATAAAAAAGCGATTGAACAATGTTGCTTGCAACCACAAGTAAGTAGTTGTAAATATAACAATAATATTTTTATTTAATAATACTTTCACAATGTGTTCAATTCAAACTTCAATTCGTAATGAATTCAGGGGCTTGAAAGCACAACCTTAAATTTATCATATATAAATAATTATATATATATAATATAAATAATATATAAATAATTACGAAATTATAAATTATCTTGTGTTTTATTATTGTTGTTTCATTTCAGATAAATATTGAAGAGTTTCTGAAGTTCTTGAAAGCCCAACTTCATCTCTTAGTATTGGCTCAATTCTGGATACACCAAAAAAATTTGCCTTGAAGAAGGAACTTTTGCTTGCAAAAGGCATTTAAACAGTAAAAAAGCACAAATTATCAAACTTACGCAAACAAAATAAGAGACTAAAGAAAAAATACAATAACATAAAGGATGTTCTGTCTCTATTAAATAAACGTCAAACAGTAGATCAGTCATTACTTCATGACCTATCTAAACATATAGAAGTTACAGAGACTTTTAATGCTATTTATTTAAAGAACGTAACAGGCAGAAAGCGGCCATTTTACACTACACTTCTATTCACCAGCCGCGTATAAGTACATACGAAAAATGTTTGACACTTGCCTAAATCACCCGAATACTTTATGCAACTGGTACAAAAGTATAAATACAGAACCTGGTTTTATAGGCGAATCGTTTGACAGACTAAAAGAAAAAACAGGTAAAGCCAAAAAAGAAGTAATAGGTGCTATAATTGCTGACGAAATGTCAATACGACAACAGAAAATATGGACTGGTAAACGTTATGAGGGTTTAATTGACATGGGACTTGGCAGCACTGACGACACAAATGATATTGCCAGTCAAGTATATATCATTATGTTAGTAACCTATAGACAAAATGACGCCTTCTTTCGCATTCGCACACGAAAAAGATAGATTTATGCATACGTCTTGCATAGAAATTAAACAGAGCGGTGTAATTGTTTGTCCCTTTATACGTGCCGGTTTTTTTGTTTAGTAAACTACACTTTGCTAAACAACTTTGACAGTTCGTAGCGATCTAAGGAGTTTACAAGTTGGTATAAGTGAGAAAAAAAGTGTTTTGTGAGCTTAGGATTGCTGAATCTTGTTTAATTCAGTTCTTAGAACAATTAAAAATGTTATCTAAATATTTTAAAAGTCATAAAGATTATTGTATAACCTAAAACTACGTTATCGTCCTTTCTCACTCGAATGTAATTCAGTTGGCGTAAAAGTGATATCGTAGACTTTTGATGGGTGTAAACCAAATATTTCTTGTATAAAAATCCTCGGTTGTAACATTGACGATTGTTTGAACATGAAAATTCATTTCAAATACCCCTCACACAATTACGAAGTGACTGTGTTTCTAGATGCATGTCACATGATTAAACTTATGCAATCTCAAATGTGTTATTGAGTCCAAAAAGATAATCAAGGATGCTAATCAGAAACTTATAAGATGGGATCTCATAGGTCGTTTTCATAATTTACAGGAAGAAAAGGGACTACATCTTGCTAACAAATTATCTCACCGCTACATAGCATTTAGAAATGAAATAATGAAAGTGAAATTAGCAACGCAACTCTTGAATCGATCCATGGCTAGATCTATCGAGTTTTGTGAAAAGCAACTACATCTTATCGATTTTATAGATTCTAGTGCATCAGTTAATTTTATTTTAAATAATATTTTCATCATTTAATTTTAAATCATCATTTAATTTTAAATAATATTTTCGACGTATTAAACACTAGGAATCGAAATGAACACGGGTACAAAAACCACTAAGTGTTAATAATGCTGAACAAATAATTTCATATTTAGTGAAAGCTAAAGAATATTTAATATCTTTAAGTATCGATATTTAACGGAAAAAACTATAAAAAGAAAAAATGAAACTATAGTGGTTTATACTTCGGAAAATATTCCGTTATAAAAGTGCCAAGAGAATACTTGTGTGATTGGACTTTAAGTCTACATTGAAAGCTTGACATATTTATTCAGAACTCTGGTCGAATCTGGTACCCTTTCTTTTCTTCTAAGTTAAATATTTAGTCAAGATCATGTGGAATTATTTTTCGGTCATTTGCGAAGTCATGACGGTCATAATGATAATCCTAATGCAGTGCAGCTAAAGTCCGCTTATAAGAAAATGCTAATGCATTTAGAGGTAAGTAATAAGTTTACAGGAAATGCTATACCGCTGGAAAATATTCCAATTTTAAGTGGTAACAATACAATTTCCACTCTAAATATAACTTCAATAGGATATCAGATCAGTCGGTAGTCGGGACAGAGTCGGTAGTCGGGACAACGAGTAGTACCTACTGTGCTCTTAAAGTAATCGAGTTTAATTGGATTTATTTAAGTATTAAAGTTACAAAAGTCATATATGTGCTTAATATAACAAATATTTGAGATACTGAATATTAGTGTGGTGTAATTTAAAAGTAATCAAAGGTAAAAGTGTAAATAAGGAAACAATCAGTGTAAAAGTACCCTTTAATTGTTGTTGTGTAGCAAAGATATTGATTTGTCCGAACTTACAACTTATTCCATATATTATTACAATTTGAAAAACATTTAATTACCTGTGTATCTAACGAAGTGGAATATTATTAATCTACTTATAAAAAACTAAGTTTTAACTTTTAGTATATTGATATTAATTGATATAATCCCTTCTGTGCCATCTGGTGGCCACTAGTTGCATATATTAATATTCTTTGTATATACCAATAATATGGCAAAGTGTGGAGCATGCGGCCGCTACCTTTCGGTGACAGATGGCCTTACCTGTGGCAAATGTGATGCCACATGTCATCGCGGCTGCCTTAACTTATCTGAAAAGGTAAAGATATCAACTTCCTGGATGTGCCCAACTTGTAAGAGTAAAGTTCCTCGTGCGGGGGACAATTCTAATACACCGGTAATGTGTCAGGATGTTGGAGATAATAGTCCCGTCTACAAAGACATTGACATAGGCCTAGAAATACGCCTGTTACGTAATGAGCTCAGTGAAATGCGCAATGAGCTGAAGGATATCAGGGACAATTTCGCCATGTTAAGGGATACAATGCTCGAAGTGTAATAAAAATTTGGAAGAAATTGACACTAGGGTCACCAAGTTGGAGAACCGAATGGAAGAACGTGAGCACAAATGTAAGTCCATGGAGCTTGAGAACACAATAGCAGAATTAAGGATCCAACTAAGCGAGAGGGATCAGGATCTGTTAGCCATTGACTTGGAAATCTCAGGTCTACCGGAACAAAAGGGGGAAGTAGCCATTAACACTGTGATACTATGTGCTAGAAAGTTAGGCCTTGATATTGACCACCGTGAAATTGTCCATGCCGAGCGTGTCGGAATATTACGCAAATCTATTGACGACATTAATAGCTCTCAAGAACAAGTTCGTTTGGGACCACGTAGAATTATGGTGCGAATGAGCCGCTGAGCGCTGCGAGATGAATTTCTACGTTCAGCGCGTGTTCGGCGGACAGTAACCACTGAGTCACTGGGGATACCCGGTGAGCCGCGTCGGTTTTACGTGAATGAGTGGTTAACACCTTTGAATAGGAAGTTGTTTGGTAAGACTCGCGAGGCAGCGGAAAAAGCAAAATGGCGTTATACTTGGACGAAGGGTGGACATATTTTTGTGAGAAAGGAAGATGGAAAGCCTGTAACGCGAATTCGGTCCGAAGCAGACCTTAAGCGTGTTTTTTGTTAATCATGCGTTAGCTATTAATTTACTTTTTTTATTATAACTTTTTTATTATCCTACCTCTTATGTTAGAGATAGCTTAATTAGGTTTGCTAAAACAATATTTATATTCTTTTATAAGTTAGTCTCCATAATAACAATTACATACAGTAAGTGTATAAATATTACTATACATCAACTTAATATAATATATTGCTTTTCAAAGGGTTTATTATTAAGTTTTAATTCAGCCTATTGGTTTATGTAAATCAGTATACATGTTCATCACGCATGAAATCTTTAAGTGTAATGTTCGATGTTCATTGTCTCGTTAGTATTTGTGTGTCTGACAAAAGTGTTCATACCGTGAGTAATCGTAATTTTACTTTACTATATTTTTCCAGGTCATTAGTTGTAAACAGTTCCTTACGTTTTTTACTCCACTTACATTAACACAATTTTAATTTTGTATTTATTTATAAACACACATATTTTTATTTTTATATTTTTAACGTAAATAGTTTTAACATTCGGAAAGAAATAACCTTAATATTCAATAATAATAAATGTAATCTATCAAAATTTATACATAATGTCTTGTCAATATATAATTTATATATAACGTGTTGTCAATTTAGTGTACAAAGTAAACATACATCATGTCTTAATAATATTCATTTATTATACGTAAATCCTGAGATGTACTATTTATTTATAAGATTAAATTTACAATATATAATATTTGTTACAATTAGAAAAACCGTATTTGGTATTTTATACTCATTATTACCTCATTACTATCTGTTAACAATGGATAAATCTTTTTATTCGGCCAACGTTAGTGGTAATTCAGTTAGCAATGATTAAGTTTAAAGAATTAAAAGTTGGTCTCTTTGATGCGGGTTCATTGGGTACGAAACACGAGGAATTCCTCGTAGCCATGAGTCGATATGATGTTGATCTCTTGGCGATAAATGAGACCTGGCTGCGGGAAGGCGACGATGGGCGCGCTCCGCTCGTACCTGGTTACCGCCTGCGTCACGTGCCGAGACCACACTCTGTGTGCGGTGGCCGTGGAGGGGGTGTAGGCTTCTACTTCAAAAAGGGAATCAACGCCCGAACAATATCTACTCCTCACCACAACTGTGTAGAAGAGATGTGGCTAGCCCTGCATATAAACTCAAAAAAAATTGTGATAGGCACGGCTTACCGCCCACCATGGCTTAGCGTTGAATTATTTCTTGATGCTATTACTGACAGACAGCACATTTTCGCACGATTATGTTCTGATTTTGGGAGATTTTAATATTAATCTAATTGACACAGAATATGTGAAGACCAAGCGTTTTATGGAATTTATAAATTATTTTAATATTAAACAATTAATAGATAAGCCAACACATTTTATCGAAACTAGTCAAACTCTAATTGATGTTATCTGTACTGATGCGCCAACACGAAATGTCACAATTGATCATATAGCTGACTTAGGTAATCATGCCTTTCTTACATGCGAGTTACATTTTAAAATAGACAAAATACTACCTCGGACGCTCGTATATCGCCCCCTAAATGATATCCTATTTGATTATTTTGAACGAGACCTCCAGATAATCCCATGGGATGTGATCAGTTGTACCGATAATGTCAATGAAATGGTATACTTATTTAATCGCTATATCCTAAATTTATTTGACTTGCATTCACCTATTAAAACAGTTATACTTAAGGACCGCCCTTGCCCCTGGATAACCAAAACCATAAAATTAATGATGAGCTTACGCGATGAAGCACACAACAAATATCGATGTTCACAGTCGCCCAGTAATAAAAATTATTATAAACAATTAAAACATCAAGTAAATGCCGCACTATACCACGAGAAAAAAGCATATTACAAAGTGTTCATTAATAATAATACCAGCAATCCAAAGAAGCTATGGTCAAATTTGAAGGCGTACTCGTTACCACCGAAAAACGAATACGACCTACCGCCACATTTATTGGATCCTGATACTATTGTTACGAGCTTGAGGTTCGTGACAATAAAAATTGCCGATAAAATTACCTAAATTAACACTTTAATTTTCTTTACACAAATTAAAACTTAAAACACTAATAATTAATCACACTAATTCACTTTATTTCGCTCCGAAGCTTCGCTTGTCTCACCGAATTCAATACTTCCCCGATCGCATCTTGCAGCGCCTATTTATATAAATTAGCACGGAAATATCCCGAATATTCAAGTAAACACGCGCAGGGTACCGAAAGTTCGAGTCTCAACTTCAAGAAGTTTAGTTCTTCGGTTCGAGACTAGATGGCGCTAGTGCCTTCGACTAAGGCGCGTAACACTGCCCCCTCCTAAGACATGCTCGTCCCGAGCATTATCGGCCCCATAATAACGCGCCAGGCGATCCACATGGACAATCTTAGGAGTCCCTCTTGCGCCTTTCTGTATCCGGTAGGTTACATCGTTGATACTGGTCACAATCCGGTACGGGCCATCCCATTTAGCTTGAAGCTTAGGAGATTTCCCTTGGCTGCGGACGGGATTATGCAACCACACTAGTGAACCTTCGTCGAACCCTTTGTTTTTCATTTTGCGGTCGTACCGGGTTTTCATCTTTTCAGACATTTGCTGGCCCGATTGTCTGACGTGCTCATAAATGTTCATATTTGAGATTCAAAATTCGTTCCTTGATCACTGTGAATCTCTAAAGGTACTCCAAAACGACAGAAGACTTCATGAACTAGTTTATCTGCAACTGTTGAAGCTTCTTGATTTGGAATGGCGAAGACTTCTGGACACTTAGTGAAGTAATCATAACATCACAACCATGAAATACTTGTTACCGCTTTCACTCTCCGGAAACGGCCCCGCCACGTCAATGGCTATTCTCTCCCATGGTGCACCAACATTGTAAAACTTCAATGCACCTATACTACGAGTGTGAGGTCCCTTTACAGCCGCACAACTTGTACATTTGCGACACCAGTCTTCGACATCGTTTCGACAGTGGACCCAGTAAAACCGTTCTCGGATCTTCAGTAGAGTACGTTTAACTCCCAGATGGCCTCCTGAATAATCATTATGGTACAACTGTAGAACATCCGGTACTTTAGCTTTAGGGACAACCATTTGTAAATGACAGCTGTCTCCCCGAACATTTTCCCATTTACGGCACAGAACTCCATCCTGAAGCAGCAAGCTATCCCATTGGGCCCAATAGCTTTTAGTGGTCGAACTCATCGCTGAGACGTCGCTCCACTTGGGCTTGGGAGCACTGGCATTCATCCATTCAAGAATCGGCTTGATGTCCGGATCTTCCTGCTGTGCATGTTGTAAGCTGTCATTCCACTCGTTGCTGAGGTGGTCTGTCCTGAGCATCCTCACGGATACCACTTCCTTACTCTCCTGCCTAGTACAATGTTTGCAATCTTCAGGACAAGGTCTACGTGATAATGCATCTGCGTTGCCATGAGATTTCCCGCTGCGATGTTCGATCTCAAAGTCATATTCCTGCAGTAGTTCAATCCACCTCGCAACTTGTCCTTCTGGATTTTTAAACTGCAATAGCCATTTTAGTGCAGCATGGTCAGTTCGTAAGTGAAATTTTCGCCCCAGAAGATATTTGCTAAAATGCTGCAACGACTTTACCACAGCTAGCAATTCGCGTCATGTGACACAATAGTTCCTTTTCGGTTTTGACGACGACTTGCTGAAGTACGCTATCACGACCTCTTGGTCACCATTCCGTTGAGACAACACACCACCAAGTCCTATATCACTAGCGTCTGTGTCAACTATAAATTCTTTGCTTGCATCAGGGTATCCCAAAATAGGTGTTTTGCACAGACGGTCCTTGAGTTCCTGGAATGAGATATTGCAACTTTCATCCCAGCAGAAATGTCGCTTCTCCTCGGTTAGCTTATGCAGAGGTTTGGCTATATCTGCAAAGTTCTTCACAAATCGCCGGTAATAGGAGCACAAACCCAAAAATGCTCTAACCTGCGTCTTGTGTTTTGGAACCGGCCAATCCTTGACAGCTACTATTTTCTCTGGATCCGTGCGATACCTTCTTCCGATAATACATACCCCAAAAAGTAGACTTGCCTTTTGAATAGTGAACATTTCTTCGGACTCAACTTGAGATTGGCACTCTGAATCTTCATGAGCACGCGTTCCAGGTTTTGAAGGTGTTCCTCAAACGTACGGCCCACGATGATGATGTCATCCAAGTAGACCAGACAGGCATCGCCAATTAGCCCGGTGAGTACAAGTTCCATCAGCCTTTCAAACGTTGCTGGAGCATTGCACAACCCAAACGGCATTACTTTAAATTGCCACAGACCCTTTCCCATCGAGAACGCGGTTTTCTCCTTGTCCTTAGGGTCAATTTCAACTTGCCAGTAGCCACTTTTTAGATCCAGCGTGCTAAACCACTTTACTCCTGTAAGCATGTCCAGCGTGTCATCAATTCTTGGCAAGGGATAGCTGTCCTTCTTCGTAACGTCGTTCAGACGGCGGTAGTCAACACAAAACCGCATGCTGCTATCCTTCTTCTTTACCAGCACTACGGGTGAACACCATGGACTAGAGGAAGGTTCAATAACACCATCCTTCACCATTCCTTCAATCATGGTTTCTACTTCCTTTTCACGTGCTACCGGCAGTCTTCTTGGTCGCTGACGGATAGGCAATTCTTCTCCTGTGCTTATTTTATGTTGAACTAAGCCAGTCTTTCCTATGT